GTATGAGAATGCACATTGTCTGTCGAGATTCTACTCGCACTGTATTGTCCATTCGGTCCTTTTCATCACATTGCAGTTCCTCGGTTATTACGTACATTGCATATTTGTGCATGTAACACAAACCTGGCAGGTTTCAACGTATCGTTTTGCATCTTGCATCGTAGAGGGCCACCAAAATCTTTGTACTAAGTTCGCTGATGTCTTTTTATAACCAAAATGACCCGTTGCATCATGACATTCTCCTAAAAATAAACTACGTAAAGACTCACTATCAGGAACACACAATCTTTTATTCCCTGCCTTCTCCAGAAACAGCAAGCCATCCACCATCATAAATTCATCCAAAGTCTTTTTGTCCTTTGCTTGGAATCTACGGATGATCTCAGACATAACTGGATCTTGCTGATAGGCTTCCACCAATGATCGAGTTAGATCGTTAGATATGCCAAATTCAGGAACTAACGCACCCAAATAATCTGCCCGACGAGATAACGCATCAGCCACTTTGTTGTACTCTCCCTTGATGGGATCAAGTTGATAGTCATACATGTTTATCACTTGTACCCATCTCTTGAGTGCATCAGAGAGTACGGGCTATGTCTTGATCCAGCGCAAGGTTTCATGGTCAGATCTCACATAGAAGAATCTGCCTAGGAGATAATGTCTCCAATGAACCAGCACTCTATATAAGGCATAGAGCTCACGCTCGTACGTGGACTTTGCTAGTTTTTGAGATGGCATCTTCTTACTCATATACTCGATCGGTCTCAACTTTTTCCCCTCCTTTTGCGCAAGGACCGCGCCTATGCCATATTCGCTGGTGTCTGTGGTCACGACAAAGGGCTGATCAGGATCAGTAAGTTTGAGAACCTCATAGTGTGTTAGGGCATACTTCAGTTTCCTAAAGTCTGCCTCACACTCTTCAGTCCACTCCCACGGGGTGTCAATTTGAGTTAGATCTGTTGAGGGGGATGCTACAGTACTATAATTCTTAACAAACGGATGATAGTAGCCCGTCATCCCCAAAAAACGATCTAACCTCCGTAACAATCTGAGGTCTGGGCCAGTCACGTATTCTGGCCACCTTGGCATCATCCGGCCTCAGTCCGTCTGCTGAGATTTCATGACCCAAGTACAAGATCTTGGTGCGACCAAACTCGCATTTCTCCAAGTTCACCTTATACTGGTGTTGTCTTAAGAGACCTAGCACTATTTTCAAGTGCTCAGCGTGCTCCTCTACAGTCCTACTAAAGATAAGAATATCGTCGAGGTACACGACGATAAACTTGTCCAAGTAATCATGAGAAATCCTGTTCATCACGTGTTGGAACGTACCAGGTGCACTGCATAGGCCGAAGGGCATCGCCACAAACTCGTACAGACCGTACCTGGTCTGAAATGCGGTTTTGTGCTGATCCTCAGGTCTAATGGCAATTTGATGGTATCCGGACTTCAAATCAATCTTGGTGAAGTGTCGGCATCCCTGCACAAAACTGCTAGCTTTGTACTTTTGCAATCTAACAGTTCTACCATTGGGCAGTTTGTGAATCAACACCTTTCTATCCCAGTCAAACTGAGGTTATTTTGCAATCTAACAGTTCTACCATTGGGCAGTTTGTGAATCAACACCTTTCTATCCCAGTCAAACTGAGGTTGCGCGACCTCGAGGTAGTACATGCCTAAGAGCATATCAAACAGCAGTTCGTCGCTAACACGGAAGGAGATTTTATGGCTCACTTCCCCTCCTCCATAGGAGAAGGTACAGACTACGTCCTTGACATAGTCTTTTACCAACATTTGGTGCTTGTTGGCCAGCGTAGAAGCTACAATTCTGCTAAGCCGCTTCACTCGGTGAGGCTACCCTCGTCAGGACCTTTTTGCCTCGGCACGTTCGGGACGTGTGGCCATAATTGCCACAGTTCATGCAGGTGCCCCTAGCGACTCGGTCCCTCCACACCTCATACTCTACACCAAGTTTTACCCATGCGGGTGTTCCTTGGTCGCCCTGACCCGTGCACCGTACTACCTTCTTTTTCCTGGTTCCCCTAGCCTTTTCCTTGATAGGTGCCACAACTCCCCCATCCGAAGTCTCACTGGCCCCATCATGCACTGTCTCCTCCCCAAGGTCTGGGAAGTCGTCAATTTCTGTCGCCTGACCATCGTGGTCAACGAACATTAGTTGACCTTTCTTTTTCCAGTCTTGGGGTAGTCGCTTCTTCCTACCATCGCCCTGACTTTGATGCGCAAATCCCAACTTTGCCTCTACGTCTAAGGCTTTCTTGCTGAAAGAAGCGAAGTTGTGTTCATCGACATAAGCCTCGTCTACTAGCTTTGTCCTTACCTCTGAGGGTAGACATCTAAGGTAATCCGTGAGGAGTACCTGCTGGTCCTAGCGCACACCCGGTACTGCGAGCACACGTTCTACAGTGTCCGTTAGCTCACAAACATTCTTGTACCTTCTAGCACAAAGACTGTTGATTGCATCGGTGGCCTTTTGAGCCCCTTGCGGGTCATGCCACCTGTTGTACACGGACTGTACGAACTGTTCCAATGTCTGGGCCTGGGGCCAGGCATCGAAGTTTTGACCGTAGCCCTGCTGTTGCACTAGGCCATTCAACCAACGGGCTGCTGACCCCTCTAAAAGGGAGGCAGCCACAACATCTTCTTGCTCTGGCCTGGTAAGTTTGTGCCTTACATAGGTAGGCACCGTCCTTAGGTATCCAAATCCTCATCCTTCTTCCTGTAGCCAGAGAAGGGCTTAGGACTCAACAAAGGTATTTTGGGCATCCACTGCATAGGCTGCATGGGCCCAGGGGCTTGCTGCAGTGGCTGCATAGCCACTGAAACATGTTGCTGCACACTAACCTGGGCCTGACTTGACAGTGAAACTGTAGAAACCACTGTCATCGATGGTACGACTGAGACTCTATGAACCGGACCAGTAGTTGCTACAAACCACCTGGAGGAGGCATGCCAAACATAGGTGAGAATGGAGGCCCTACCGGCGGCAGCGTCACTGATGGACCCGCGCCCGAAGGGGGAGTTACAGCAAACTGAGGGTGCCTCATCAATGGATGAGGAGCCGGCAATGCAACCAAAATTCGTTTCTGGCCTGCCACTAGTTCAGCCAACACCTCCTGTTGAACTACCTGCGTCTCTGCCACACACAAGAGCGAGTTACGCAGTGCTTGTATCGTAGGGTCAAGTGTTGACTCATCTAGTGCTTCTAATCTGCTTAACTCCTGCATTCTACTGCCTAGTCTAGCTTTTCTCACGATTGCTTTTCTTCTCCTCTCTACTGCCTCATCCAATTGCCGCTGTAGCTCATCCTGAAGTTCTTCTGCTTGGAGGATTTCATAATCCTCCGGCGTGAGTTGAGTCTGCTGGCTGACTCGCAAGCCAGCAATCTGGCTAATGGACCCTTGAGAACCACTCTGACTAACTCCTGACGAAGTAGACTGAGAAGAGGTTTGCGACATGGTAGATGAAGTAGCCATGGTCGTACCGGTGGTAGCTGAAATTCTAGTCCTGGCACTATCCTCAGCTGCCCTCGCTCTCGTTGCTGCTGCTCTCTCTCTAGCCTCTCTCTGCAATCTCCTCTCGTTTCCTGGACCTAACTCCAAGAATGTCAAAGGTCGACTGCGAGCAGTCCCACGAGTAGTCCTACGGTCGTCCACTAACAACTCCTCCTCACTTGTGCTTGCATCACTCATGAGCTACAGTGTGTGTGATCTAAACTAGAATCCACATTGAATCCTACCTTAGCCTGACACACAACCGATTACGAATCACAACTAATTCCGGTCGGACTGAACAAAAACAGTTAGGTGATATAGTAACAACTAATGTCAGATCCTACAGGAAATATCACATCTGTTTTTAGATTACCCTAGAACAGATTGTCATGCAGCAAAGAACTAATCTGTCTGCAGTTGTCTGTCAGTTGTTAGTA